TCTATAGCATGTGCCACAACATCCAGCATCCTCAACAACACAACTATAGAGAACGATTGGTCATCCAAAGCAATAAATTACATTATTATTAGTTATACTTTGCTTTTTGGCTCTGACATCTGATTTTAGTTTTATTTATTTGTCATTTCAAGGACTGTGGCTACAGATGGCACAAGTGTGCCGGAAAGGACTTTCCTTTATGCTTCTGTAGTTTTGCTTTATTCTGCATATCAAGCAGGATGCTGTGTTTTTAAATGGTATTAGATCTGAACTGTAGAATTCTTTCTACCCCCTTTTAATACTTGTTATGTACAGTGATTACACATCGCTTGTCTGGTGTCCCTCATAGAAACCAGGAATTAGCCTATACATCTGTCATTTTCACTGATGATCTGCTGCCTCTTAGACTGTTGGAACATGTCTGTGCTGACCAGCATAGGAAAGCAAAGAAAAGAAACTTCCTTCTTCTTACTATTTCTTATTTTTATTGCTGTTAAAACGATTTGTAAAGTCTGACATTTTGACACTTGATTTTAGGCCTATTTAGTCTTTTCTCCACTACCGATGCATCCCTACTAGTAATATAACCTCCTGTGCTCTAGTCTTCATTCAGTCAGAATGAGCGAGCTTAGATTAGGAGTTGGTTCAGACCTTCGTGTACTGGTCCACTCTAATTGGGTCAGGCAGCCGTGTGTCCTGCGGGCGATGGTCTTTATTGTGTTCGGTGCGTGGTGGTTACGGCATCTGAGTCGAGGAGCAGAGTCAGAAGAGACTGATTTCATAGATCATGACAGGATGTCTTCTCAGGTCTCCACCACATGCCACCAAAAATTCACAGCTTCTTCTGGTCTGCCACACAGTCTCAAACCAAAGCTTACACTTTTCAAGTCTCCTCCAACTGGATCTCGCACAGTGCTGCAGTGGGCCCTCAGAGTGGGCCCTCGGAAAAGCCTAATGAGCCAAAAAAAGCTAATTTAAAACACTGTTAGAGTAGCGCTAACTTACTACTAGAAACCCATTGGGGTGCTAGCAGAAATGATCATTATTACGGTTCTTTTTATTATTATTATTATTATTATTATTTATTGTTTTTGAACAAATTTTGACATTTGTGGCCTGTTCTAATAGTCACATTTCACCACTGCACAGCAACAGTTTTACGTAAGAAAGAAATTAAGAATCATAATAACTTCTAATTTAAAGAAATGAAATTACAAGTTATTATGAAATTCTTTGGCGCAAATTTTAAGAGACAAAAGCAGCTCAAAACAAACTAATTCAGGTTTGTAATACTTCAAGTGTAGAGTAGCAGTACTCAGCATGGGTTCATTCGCTTTATTAATGCAAACTTAAATATCATTTGATACTGTGATAGTGTGATATATTTGGAAAGCACAATGGTATTAAATTGAGTCGATATCACCCAGCACTAGCATCATTTGAGTTATTTTGAACTGTTCTGCAACATCCCATGGCTTCTCACAAGCTCTGTTGCTAACTCACTTTGGCAGGTTGGCCCAGAAGTATTACTGTATCACTTCGGCAGTATTTTGTGCAAGTGAATTAGTCACGGTGCCGTCGTTTTGACAATGTGTGAAAGCAAGCAAGCTTCTCAAGCGCCGGACGAGAGCAGAAAACGTCAAATAAACAGGCAGCATGGCCGTATGATAGAGCCTATCAGTGCATGCTCATTCATCCGCTAAGCAGGAGAAAGCAGGCAGGGAGCGAGAGGAGGTGTATGTGTGTGTTTGCTCTGCATTCGTATAGGGATGGGCAGCATGACTGAGGTGAAGGCTGCCCTGAGGAAGAAGAGGAGTGTGTGTGTGTGTGTGTGTGTGTGTGTGTGCGCGAGCACACCGGTAGGCCTTCTCAGCAGTGTGAACGTGCAGTCAGAAGAGATTTGGCAGACGTGCGGGCAGCGGGCGCTGTGAGGCCTGGTGCCTAGTGCTCCTGCCCGGTAGGGGTTAACTTCGCTTGGCTGCACCGCAGCCTCTTTCTGTCAGCCCGCAACACACCACGCCCGCACACACACAGATCCGACGCTTATTCCTTCTGAAAAGCCACCACTGATTTTACAAGAGCTCAGCCATCAGATACTTTCTACCACTCTGCCCTTCACATATTCCAAATGCTTAGCCTTTTCTCCCTCCTCTGCCGCAGAGTGCAGCTTTGGATGGACAGAGGGGCAAGATGCCAGTGGCAGTGGTCTCCTCTTTGCAGTGTGTCGGGGGGAGGGATGCAGGCTGAGAGAGTTAAATCGAGAGGAGGCTGCTGGAGATAGTGCTTTAGATCAGATAATAAATACCCCTCGTGTCATCTGGATGAGTCTGTCTGCTTTGTGCCTGCCAAATAAAATAGAAATCTCAGGTGAGGTTCAAAAGGAGAAGCCACATTTTCACATTTTTAGATATTTTAAATGAAATTAAATGTCTAATTTAATTTAATCTAATATCTAATTTAATCTAATATCTAATTAAATTCAAACTAGAATTTGGATAAAAATTAAGTAATGGAAATCCGATTAAAAGTGTTGTTAATATGTTTATCGTTGCCAGGCATGTATGTATGTATGTATATATATATATATATATGTGTGTGTGTGTGTGTGTGTGTGTGTGTATGTGTAGTTATTGTTATATAACTATTTTTATACAATGTGCTCGTGTTTTAGGTAATTCAAAAAATCGACCAATCTGGCTGTAAAGAAATCAGAATCAGCTATAGAAATTTATGATCGGCACATGCCTAATGGTTACAGTGAATTAGCTCTTTAAGAGTAAATATGAACTAATACAGTTTCATTAGATTATTCCTTTGAGGAAAAGCCTGTACATGTTTACTGCTATGGAGATGATGGTGGCGGCATTTAATTCAGCTCTTAGTGATCTTTCCCACGCAGCCCACATCTCCAAAGGTGAGGCGCTGTCACTGTTACCGTGTGGCTCTTTTGTGAAATTAAATAACTGATGAAAAAAGACAGACAGAAAGAAAGAAATAAAGGGACCCCGGACGCAACTTAAAAGTTTGTGCCCGACGTAAATGTCAATAGAGAAACCTCTTCCATCATCAGCAGTAAATTCACATTGATGCCTCTTTTCTTCGCACTATCGATCCGGCCATGAGAACGCAGATTTGTATCTGTTAATTAATGCGTCCCGAAACTGCATTTGTATTAATCAGGGAGATAAGAAAAATTGGATGCCCGCGCTGGCATGACAACCGTAAAAGCGGGGGCCGGCCCCCCGATAAAATCATTGATGGACCTCAATAAAGGTGGGGTCGGTGGAGGAGGGAGGGGGGGAAGTTCCCCCTTCCACTCAATAAACTAATCATCCGGCTTTTAATTATTCTGTGGGGAGATGTGTTGGAGATTGGGGAATGTGTAAATCTAATTATTTACTAACAGCAGTGACTGGGAGGGAGGGCTAGGGGGATGGCACACGGGGAGCTCCAGGCTATGGGCTCTGTCCATCTGCCACTGCTGTCCTCTCCGCAACCCCCCTCCCTGCCTGCCTCTTTGGCTTTGTGTCCCTAACCAACACCACCACTAGTGCCACTGCCACCCTCCAGCACTGTCTCTACAGTGGAATATTACCCTTTAATTTTGTCATTGTCATCTAAACTTGGAACAGTTCGCTGAACTCGTGTTTGTGTGTTAGTTCATTGTAATGGCAGTTCTGTGACAGGTGAGGATTTCAGTAGAGAGAATGAGAGAAATGTATGGGAGGATTCATATTTTTAGCCCATGCCAGCTCTCATTGGAGCTTAAACTCCTTTGCAAGAATGCAGCAGGGTCTGACATTAAAGACCCCCTTAAGAAATTCTTCGCTAATCCCTTTTGATGATTTTATTAAGTAGTGGTGGACAGCCCTGCCAACTGGCACTGGGTGTGCGCCCACCAGCAGGCCAGGAAGTGCACCAACTGCTCAGCCTGCTCCTAATGAGATCAGAGATGTTAACAGTTTTGGATAATAAATTAGCGGTTGTTATAAACAATAGCCTTAAACCTACACATAATGAGCTCCTTGCCATTCACGATCAACTCAGAATCAGAGAGCAGGGAAAAACGGGAAAAATTAGCAGTTTCAGCCACCTTTCTTGGGCGAGGTTGACGCTTTTCAACAGTTGTTTTGAAGCATCTCTCCCTATGCCTCCCCATAGCTGCTTGGATAAGGGCTCTTGCTGTTGTTAGCGGTGACGCCTCATCTGCTCTGTGCCGGGCTAAAGAGTGAGAGGGAGAGAAAGGGGGAGAGAGAGTCGTCAGATGGGCCTCCAGTATTGTGTTGTCAGTTCATCGCCTGGCCCGGGCATGAGCGGAGAACTGGCGTGCTGCTGTCCAGTCTGTCGCGCTGGGGCTCTTGCTCTCTGTCGTCTGCCATCCATGTGGACACTGGAGGGTGATGATGCTCCAGGTTGACTTCCTGCTGTCAGTGGAGATGTTTGTTTGTGGCGTCATGAAGATTGAAGTTCTCTTTCAGAGATTGAGCTTACATACATCGTCGAGTGCTCTCATGGTTTTTTAGCGCAGCCGAAAAGAAGAAAGGAAACTAGAGAAAGGGGGAAAAAGGCGAGGGAGAAAATAGAGAGAAAAAGAGAGAGAGAGGGAGAGATACGGATGAGGCAAGAAGGAAGGAGAAGGGAGTTTGAGGCAAGCAATTAGTCTTTCAGCTGGTGTGATGGGAAGAATTGATCCATGCTGCATGTTTGGGGAGATAAGGAGTTCCCTCCCACAGGATGCCCCCTGGCCTGCCGCACGGCAGGAGATGAGAGCCGAGCCTCGTGCTAGGCGCATCCCCTCCTCTCCCCCCCTCTGCACTTCTCCTCCCCATCACAGCTTCAGAATGTCAATGCTCTTCACCACCATTCTCAACAGGCCACTGCAAAACCTCCCCAACTTCTTGCACAGATTCGGCCAGCGTGCTGTTCACTCACTGGAAGGTTGTTGAAAGGCAAATCAGAGGTAGGGCCCGAGTTTGAGGCCTCTTCTGTGTTTCTTGCAGGGTTCTCAACGCTGTCGCTGGCCGACCAGATGAGCCTCCTACAGAGCGCCTGGATGGAGATATTGATCTTACGCGTGGTCTACCGGTCACTGCCGTTCGAGGACAAGTTGGTCTACGCTGAGGACTACATCATGGACGAGGACCAATCCAAGCTGGCTGGCTTACTGGACCTGAACAATGCCATCCTGCAACTGGTGAAGAAGTACAAGAACATGAAGCTGGAGAAAGAGGAGTTTGTCACTCTTAAAGCTATAGCGCTCGCAAATTCAGGTGACTACATTAATACATTTCTCTATGCATGTTTGTATTTGCATGTTTGTTTGTGCATCTGAATGATGTCACTCTTAGATTTAACATCTCTGTTTGAATTGTATATTTGTTTTAAAATGTTGTAGGAAAAAATCAAAAATAGTATTCGAGATTACTGCCATTTGTCTTGATCTCTGTGAATAAAAAGTGGGTCAACCTCTCGCAAGGAGTTAATCTCTCACATAATTTGTTTCAAAAATACTCACAGGCACCTCCCTCTCGCTTCCTGTCTCCACATTCACATAAGCAGAGCCTCCCCTTCTCCCCCTAGAGTCCTCCAAAGGCATGTCTGCAGCATTAGCATAAGTCCATCTTCAGGTACCTCTTAAACAAGGAGCCCATCACTATTCACTTGCTTGTCGATAATTCGCACTGATGTGGGTGCCGGGAGGGCTCCCTTTCTTTTGACCCCTTCTTTGAACTTTATCTTGGTCACTGGCCAGCGACCCTCCCCCCACCCCTCCACCCCCCCTTTAATTACAAGAAGGAAACTGTCAATAAAATCTGTTAAATGGGACGCAGTGAGCAGCTTGAATGGTAGGGCAGCTATTTGTTCAAATTCTCCAGCGCTCAAGGTATTGACAGTTTGTTTTCTGAGGCCATATGTGACGATCAATCTCCGGCTGGGCCTGGCCATGCTGAAAAATGAAAAAGCAGATTGCTCTTGCCTGCTTGCGGATGTCGGCCCGGCTCGCCGGACGCTCAGGGCCTCTCCTGCCCCAGAGTGAGCCCCCGAGGGGGAGAGGGCGCGCAGCTCTTGAGAAATTCTTTTTTAATTGATTTTGTAATTAACAGTTCATCTCTCTTGTCGATGCCCACGCGCTCTGAGACCGATGGGATGGCGATTGTTTGGAGCAGGCGGAAGCGGCTGGAGCGATGTGCAGATTTATTCAGAGAGACTCGCGTCCTTCCTCTCCTCCTTCTCTGCACATATGAGGGTAGACATGTTGCCCAACCATGCATTATTGCCTGGTGGCTGCATGACTGTGTATTGTAGCCTGCATTAGACTTTTCCTGTTAAATTGGTTCTCTTTTTCAGTTGGACATAAAGCCTCTAATGGTATAATGATCCCTTCAGTGGTCTTAGGATTCAGTTTTGAACCAAGACGCAGTAAGAATTTTACATACTGTCAATTTTTTCCCACCCTAATCCTTCTCTCTGTCTTTCTCTCGTGTCACACTCGAGGCTTTGCTTCTGTAGCACCTCTCGAAGCTCCTCTCCCAGGAGAGGCATGCATCATACCAGAATTCAAAGGTGTGCCATTTTGTCACACTTCTTTTTTTTTTTGGAAGAACGAGAGAGGACACAGAGAGAGTTCTAGACAGCTTCTATAAAAAATAGTGCACCCTCCTATTCTTTTGCCTTTACAGGCAGCAAACCTTTTTGACAGGTAATCAATTACTCATAAAAAGATTGTGCCCAATCCAGATAATGCAAAATGCACTTTTGATTTAACTTTTCCTCTCATTATATAGTTTCATTATGGAGAATTTTCATTGTAGCAGCACCTCACTGTGTTTAACTTGCCATAACAAAAATCCCTCCACGCTTGGTCCCTCAACAACATTTGCTGCACGTGGTTCTCTTCCTTTAAGAAAATATACTGACAGCAAATACTGGGTTTTAAAGTGAGAAGACCTCACTTCTCGAGCCTGGACAATGATATATACATTTTCCAGAATGATGTAAGTTGTCTGCCGCCGCCGCTGATGTTTAGATTGATGGCGCTGCTGGCGTGGCACGCTTCATGGAAAGGTGCAGTTAAGCACTTTCCTGGCAGGGATTTTGGTCGCGTCGTGGGTCACTTTTCAGATGGCCGGAGCCCATGTGACTGATGGACGAGACCTTCCTGTCTGAATTGTAGATGGGCCTAGAGACACTGAAGGCTTGGAAAATTGAGCTGTTAGCTGAAGCAGACAGGCTGTTTGCCCTTACAGCCCCAAAAGAGAGACTCTGCTAACAGGGGAAGCGCACAGGGACACCCACACATGATCTCTGTCTTATCAATACTTGACCCTACAGTTATTATTTAACATGTATGTATTGATTCTATCCAAGGCATGAATTGTAATCACTTGGTCGAAGCCTTATGTGTGTTCTGACATGTAGCCCCTAGAGAATGGACTAGGGCTGACACGGCAGAGTCATGGGGCTTTGGGGGTGGTTTTGTTTATGGTGAAAACCACACAAAAGCACTGATTTACCAGTGTATTATTTTACGTAGGTTGACTGAGTTCATTAGCACTGAATCTGCACAATAAACAGAAGGGCGTAACACTTTAGGAGCACTTTTTGGCAGGACCCTCAGTGAGAGTTTTCAACAGAGAACAAACCCAAAGAGCACTTTTGGTTAAGGCCTTTAGTTGTCTGAGACTTAATGCTTTCAGAGAAGCGCGCCGGGCTCCGGCATGTATGCGCGCCGTGCTAACAAGCAAATATGCAAATGAACCCTGTTTGACATTTCTCCCAGACAATGCCAGTCAGGCGAAGGGATTGACGCCTGAAAAGTGGCTCGTTGTGTCCTCTCGCTTAGGCGCGAGGCCCGTATCAGCTCGCCTCCAAACGTTGTTCCTGTTGTGCACGCCATTCATCAGGCCCACGGAGAGCCATGTAAACACATGGAGAAGACAATTCCAGTGTTTAACACTCAAGAGTGTGTTTAATCACCGGAGAATGAGCTCTGCCTTGGCAGAAAGGATGAGTCAGTCTCTTTTCCCCCATTTATCAGCACTTTCACTGCAGAAACAGACTAAAGAGCTAAAATGTCCAAGATTGAATCTGTTCTAACTCTCGAGTTTCTTTTAATATTATATAAGGTACTTGTGGATATTTGTAGTAAAGTGTTCACAGTGATTTTGCTGGAATACAGCAAGTAATGAAATATGAATCAGCCACTAATTACACAGTCTGTCGTTGCATTCTCTGGTACACGGTGGCTGAGAAACAGAAAGAAACGGTTCTGATTTTCTCCCATTGTCATTTCTCCATTACCTTCCTACATCTTCAGATCAGTTTGCTCAACAACTGATATAACAGAGCTTGTCTTCTTTGGCAGACTCCATGCACATAGAGGATGTGGATGCGGTGCAGAAGCTCCAGGATGTTCTGCACGAGGCCCTGCAGGACTACGAGAGCAGCCAGCACGCGGAGGACCCACGCCGGGCCGGCAAGCTGCTCATGACCCTGCCTCTGCTCCGGCAGACCTCTACCAAGGCTGTGCAGCACTTCTACAGTATCAAACAGGACGGCAAGGTGCCCATGCACAAACTCTTCCTGGAGCTGCTAGAGGCCAAGGTCTAGCTCAGTCCCTTACTTAGGCCACACCCCTCGTTTGGAAAGTGGGCGGGTCATATTGATGACCCCACCCGTTTCGCCAGGCAGGCAGTGACTGATTCTCCGCTACTGTCGGTGAAACTTTTGTCTATAAACGGTATCAAATAATGACAAGAAACAAACATAACCTTTACGGTACTCGTAACTATTGACAGTGATACATACATTAAGGAATGATTAAAGTGTCGTTATTGAGAAAAATGTTGAATGGGGGGGGGAAGACTGCTTTCACTATTTAGCAGTGGGACTTGGAACCAGCTTTTGACTTGTTTTTCTCCAAAATCTGATGCAGTTTCTAGAGCTATCGAAAACATTTTGTTGATTTTCACAAAACCTGGAGCCGAGAAAGATCAGCCCTGCCAAAGGAAGGAGTTCCACTGAGTTGGAAGCCAGCAAACTGTACTGTCCTAAACCCATGTCCAGCTATCATCTTATTCGAGGAACCTAGGAAGAATCCCTCTTTATCAGACAGCCACAACAAGATGACTTGCAGTAGTATTACCACCAGACCTCACCGGAGCAGTTAGCCAAACAGAGATTTCTTTGGTTTTGTTTTATTCTTTGTTTCTTTTTGTTTTTGCATTTTATTTCCATGTTTGAAGAAGCTGCTCCTCTCATTAATTTCACCACAGTCACTGGGGTTTGATTCCCTTCTTGTTTTTTTCAAGTCTTCCAAACACTTCTAGCCACTTTTAATGATTTTATCTGTATCTTTTCAGGGAATAGCCTGAGCTTTAGTCTCTCATGCAATACAAAACAAAGAGGTACTGCGGTGGACAAGGAATAGACTTATTTATTTATTGATATTGTTTTACTGTGTTTTATTTCGGTGTATTTTTACTGCAATGAAGGGTGTAAATAGGATATGTGGTATGGTCATCATACACAAGTTTTGTTGATAAATGTTACTGGAACTGATTGCTTTTCTACCAGCTTGACCACTTACGAGTCATAAAAATAAATCCTCGCTATCTTCTCCAAGCAATATACGTTCTACTAAAAAGCAGAGGTGTGTAAATGTAATGCAATTTCTGTTAGTGCCCGTCTTCTTTGGGAAACTGAATTTCCCGCAGCTTTAGCTTTCGTTTCTGTGCTTGATATAAGATGATAGTTGACAGAAATGATGGCAAGAAGGACCATAAACATTAACTCATATGATATATGCATTTATATTAACCCCAATCTCTTTACTTTTATTGACATTATTTCATATCAAAGCAGTTATATGAACTTTGTGAAGCAAATTAGCACTTAGGCGAGACATCAACACTACTTGGAGTAACATTGTAGCTCTAGTTTCATGTTGGTCCTATTTTTATGATGAATAGAGGCGCCGATATCATGATGTAATCTTCAAAACCAGACATTTCTTTAGCGGAGAAGCTAAGTAACTAAGCAGGCTATCCACAGCACTCATCTGAAATATGTCAGTATTAGTATGGGGTATTTTCTGAATATTCTTAAACGTTGTAAATTGTAAATTAACAGATTATAAAACTAACCTAAGACATTTTATTGGAACAAAATGAAAAAAAAAACTAAAAAAATGTAGTTCAGCTTGATGTTTCATGTCTGCTGTGCTTTTTCTGAACCATTTATTTCTTTTTCCCCTCCTTCTGTTCCATGCAATGACGTTGTGTACTTCTCGTGGTGGTTCCAGTTTTTGTGCTGTTTTTTTTCTTATTTTCTTTCTTTTTCTTTCTTTCTTTTTTTAGAGACAGGGTAGATCATAGAGACACTACTGGATGTACGAATCCTCAGGAGACAAGTACGATGGGTTCTCAAATAACTTGCTGAAAAAAAAAGACTTTCTAGTTCCTGCTAGATCAACAAGGTCCGCAATCAATGTAATCTATACTGATGTATAAGTGATTAACAGTTATTTAAAGGAAGGAACAACATATATTAAAAAAGGGATCATTTTGTCTAACTACTTTCCTGTAGAGTAACACTGTATATCTTAGGTTAAAATGAATAATACGCTTTTGAGTATCTCAAAACAGTAGTGGTTTTTTTTTTTCCATTTATGTTTTTTTTTCTTAACAAGATGCTGTACATAAGGCCTTCCATGCTAAACAACTCCGTTGTAATATTATCTTTACTCTTTGAGGCTGCAAAGGGAAAAAAGAAAAAAACTTTTTTATGTTTTGGTGTAGGATCAGTTTCCAAAACTATCGCTTAAACTTTGTGTGCTAAATAAAAATGAAGAAAAAAGGACTAAAGAATAGATTTTTATTTCTTTTTTTTTGGAATAAAATGGGGATGGGATTTTATTTATGAATTTTTTTTCCTCCCTTCTGTCTTGTTCTATAAATACCGTGTAATATCTATCATTAGCTATACAAAACTATAATTAGATTGTGCTTTGGAGAGGTTAGTGTAATGTAACTCGAAACATTATTCATGGAAACTCATCAGATGAAACGGTCAAAAACAGGAGGGTTCTTGCTGTTGATAGGACGTTGGCACTTTCATTTTTTTTACATAACACAACTCGTGGCAGAAAGGTGCTGTTTCTTTGTGATTTCTTTTCTATCCTGTTGTCTGTTATGTTGTCTTTACCATGAAAAACGGTACTGAACACTAAGCAGATGGAACTTAGGAAACCTGTAACCTGTCAGCGATTTTAAGCTGAGCTTTTCAACCACTTTTAGTTTCATAATGTCACACAGATGTTACAGCAAGCAGTCCTGGGCCTGTATGCACTGAGTGTGCTGACCTGGGTTCAGCTCTGTCCCTCTCTGTGTAGTAATATGAACAACAAAACGAAGCTGATCCTAGATCAGCGCTCTCGCTCTGAGAAGTCTGGCGCATAACCCCTGATCTCCGTCCAGTTTTGAGGTGCATTGAAATACTGACCTTTTTTCAGATCGTTCACAAAGCTTTCTTATAAACTGAGCATCCTCACAGAAGATAAAGCATTTTGTGAATCTGTAGTGACCATCATTGTGGACAGTATACTCCACGAGCAGCTTAGATCATCTGAGAAGGCTTTTGCTCTGTGTCTTTTAACGTGCTGCTCGAGCCCTGAGCGCAGAGAGCGAAGTGTAATTTAGCCATACCGACGATGACTTTTTTCCAACATATTTTCTTATTTAAAGCAATACGACTGTGCGGCAACCAGGTGTCGCACTTTGTGATTGAATTAGATCAAAATGCTGTATTTATTGGACTATTTTGCAATTTAAGGAATATTAGGAACAATAATATGAAGATGTACAAACAACTGCTATTTTTTATTATATATGACGTTATGGGCGTTGGTTATATTTATTCTCGTGTCGGTGTCTGCCAAACGCGGCGAGGGGTTTCGCGGCGGTCGAACGTGCAAAATGTAGAAAACACTGATGGAAAGGAAGAGCTTGAGGAAAAATATATTAAAAAAGAGAAAAAAAAACCTTATAAGATCAATAAGATAATGATATAAATTTCAATCCAGGAGTTGCTGAAACAGCCTGTAGTGAGAACCATGTCTGTAGTTCTAGATGTGCTCCACATCAGTAAAATAATTAACTGTATATTTTTGTGATGTGTATCATACAGTGTGCTCCAACGATTCTGTCCATTTGTGTAAATGTATTTATTTTACATTGTATATATTGTTCAATGCAAAAAGAGAGACCTATGATTCTGTAACTACGATCAGTTCAGATGTGTAACTCCAATTATGCCTTTCAGGATAATGGTAGAGCAATATTAAAACATGCTTCCAGTTTTGACTTCCGCCTGCTCTTCTTTTGTTCTTCTTCCATTTTCTCTACTTTCTAATCGCACGTTTATAGGGTGGCCATCACCAACACTGGTCCTGCAGGTCTGCCTTCCTGCAGACTGTAGTCCCAACCTGTTTGCCCCACCTCCTCCAGCTAATTAACATTTTCAGATGTCCTTCATTGGCTGGATTGGATACGTTAGTCTTAGGTAAGGAGAGGCAGCATTTTAGATGCAGGTGTGCCCTAAACTCTCTGGATCTCCAGGAGGAGGTTTGGTGACCACTGCCCTAGGGGTATGGTTCTGTTTTTAAAGTCAACCTGACCTTTTTCACCTTGGTAGTTCATGTGCCTGGTCATATTAAGCACGATTAATCATATCTTATCATTTACAAGACATTATTCTTGCTTTTTCTGTAGTCGCCCATGAAAATGCTGTGACTGACCTCTAAAACATCTTCTGAGTTTATATTCCCACATCATGTAAAGCCCCTTCACTACCCCCATGTGTTTTCTGGGCTAAGTAAGAGACTCTGATACTAGGTTTTACTCAAAAATGTCATGGCACAGAGGGAAATTGCGTCCAATTCACATTGACTTTAAAATATCAAAATGCAAGTCATAGTTTTATAGAGGTAAACGGGGCCAAACGTTCCTACTGATGTCCAGCAAAAAGAGGCTGGTATTTCTGAACATGTCCACAACTGAGTGAGTGTGTAACGAAGCACCTGCTTCAGAACAGGTGTGGTTTCTGAGCTCATTAAGTTAATATTATGACCTCTATTAGTTACTTGAGTTTAGATCCTAAAGTGCTATATGAGAAATTCTTTAAACCCAGCTGTACAAGTGGGCTTTCTTCCTGGGGCAGTTTTAGAATTGCTCTCTTTTAGAGTAAAAGGCTTCTATCCTACATTTTCTTTATTCTTTATGTACCAAAACAGTCATAAACCATGACTCTTTTCTGATTGGCTGACCTGTACTGTGCCTTATTCAAAAAGTAGTCCATACTCAAACACTCCTTATAATGTGAGCGTGAATTGGTGGAGCTAAACTGCTGTAGGCGGAAAAGGCGGATATATTAAAATGCAATAGTTTTCATGACATCATAGAAATAAATAATTAAAAACAGGCTTAGTTTTTATATATTGATTGTATTGTCTGAGGATGAACATTACTTTTTGAAACGTTAGTATGTGCATTCTACATCCAGCTATTTTTTAGGAACATTAGATTTTTCATAATATAGGCCTTAATGTTTCTATAGTGTTATTTTGTAGAGGC